CTGAACATTTCCCGTCCATGCCATTGCCATTGTTGTTGAATCGGAGGCAATTGCGATTTTGTCACTGCTATCAAAATCATAACTTGAAAAAGATTGTCTCACGTGAACGCCGAGGATAGAGCCTTGTCAAAAGTGCTAAGTACAAATGGAGCGAAGCGAAGCCTAAAAACTTCAGCAGTGAAAGCTCAGGAAGGGGCCCAAATCCGGAAATGGGATACCATACCACTTCAGAAAACCCTGGGTCATTTCGTCATTCTACTACGAAAAAAGGAGAAACAGCATCAAACGGAACCACGTTAATACGCGATGTAATAATCCTTTAATTGTGTGTAACTGATGTTAATTGTGTTAAAATGAAGGTTAAACTGACGATTCCTGCACAATAATCTGAAATTTTCGCGATAAAACACTTCATTACTACAAAGGACTCGGTTATCCCAAGTAAACTATTATCCTACACGTGTATTCTATTCCTAGTATCTCTTTCTACTCGTTTAATAAGGGTATAAGTAGAGAGTTACCCTTCAGTTTTCGGAGGTAACCAGGATTGCCTCGTACCTCGGTAAGAAGCAATTCTTGTGAGGTACGTAGTCGTGAGTCAAGTTGTAGGATGGCTCGGATGTATTCCCAGCTTAGAAATTGCATCGGAGAATGCCGCCTTGGTGGCAACAGAAATATACGCTTCCCGAAGGGAGTAACGGGCATTATACCCGAATTCCCACGATCGCTGGCACGCACGCGGCGGTGATTCGCGGAAATTGTGGATCCACCCACTTGAAGCTCAAATCTTACACATTGCGCACTTCAACATGCGGTAGTAGTGGCATTCGTTTGGGTTCAGCACATTTTTTCTATGCCTTGATGTGTCTCAAGAGGTTCGGACAAATTAGATGATCGTATCATTCAAATTCTCTTACTTTAGAGGACTACATGAACCGTTATTTCACTCCATAAACGTTGCCATGCCGCGTCCATTACGGCTTAGCAACAGACAAGATGAGGATAGTAACGTTGTTGAAATGGCAAACGATGGACTGACTAGCACGCAGGTTTGTCTTTCTTGGCAATTATAATCTCAGAACTGTATGCTGTGTTCTCCTTTTGCCTTTTGTGGTGGAGCAATTTGATGTATCGGGTATGAAAATACGTTTCATTGTTCACAATATCCAATGCTCCGTTACCATTGGTTGTTGTTCGAATTGGAGCATACCGCGTAGTCTTCATAATGCATTACACGGCTTTTTTCGAAGCTATGCAAACTGCTGAGGGATAATATCTAACTTAGCCACCGTTTCGCAGCTTGTTCTCGAAGTCTTAATACTTATACGAAGTTTGTCTCGGGTTCAAAGCATTATTTAGGTTCAAGAAGCTAACTATCTTAACTCACTGGCTACTGCGGCTGATCCTTCTCAGCTATTCGCTAAGCGTGCATCACTCAGGGAAGCCTACCATGGTATCTGCAGCCAATTTACAGGTGTGAACTTACTGTTTTTATATTCAGTCAGGGAGTGCTTGGCTCTAATTGTTTTAGGTGATACTGAGAAAAAGGAAAGCAAAGAATTGATTGAAAACCTTGGAAAGTCACTTGAAGACGTTGACCGTTCTTATCAAAGTGTAAGTTTTTTTTGAATATTTTTCGTTCTTTTACTTTATTATCTCCTTTAAGGTAGGCGCAGGAGGGAAAGAGCTTGCAGCTGATGCAGATTCTTTGCTGTCCATGGCAAGTGTTCTACTGGAACAGATGAAGTCGTTCCGCCGTTCGAACTCGGAAAGGATCGTCACAGCTAAATCACTGGCTGATGCATTGGTTAGTTTCTCCATTCCGCTTCATTTGTTCATTTGACCAATTCCTAACAACTATAAAAAAGATGTAATTAAAAAGATTGAACTGCCACATTTTATGCTGTCATTTTTCACTGCCGCTATCTAAGTAGCAGAGTTACCTCTGATTTTCTCTTATCTCCTGAGTTTTTTGCATGGATCTTTAGCT